CAGTTGGCCTCAAGTCGGTTTAGTCCAGGTGCCAACCCCTGGGGGAGATGGATGCTTGGCCAAGGGTGGCCCTGGCTTTGGTCCCCTGCACATGCACAGCCATTCCCTGAGGTCCAGGTGTCCCTGGATCTGACTCATTCCTGTGAACTCAGAACCTTCTTCCCTCTCTCCCCTCCCAGGGGAGCATGGCACCAGGGGTGTGCAGTGTCTCTCTTTACTGTAGAAATAAGCCAGGTCTCTCTACACCCTGTGTCCAGCCCAAGAGGGCTCCCCATCCACTCCACTAAGGACAGCTATCCTTGGGGTCTCCTGCACTCTCTATGACACCTGGCCCTGAACACTAGAGCCTGTCACCATCCTTCCCACAGGCAGATAAAAACACAGGCACCCAGTTAGATGTGAATTTCAGATTAACAGTGAATAAACAAGGAATAGTTCTTAGCCTGTCAAGTAACTGAAATGGCAACGTAACTGGCATCCTGCGTTTCATCTGGCAACCCCACCTAAGGGAGGCTCCTCGGGCGGCAGGGCCCTCCTCTGCCCGGCCAGCAGCCTGCATGTTGTGTTACCCTTATTTTCCAAATGACTCAGTAGAGTCACAGGTGAGAGGAGCAGGAGCATATGACCTCCACAAAGGCCTCCAGCTTGTTAGTCTGAAGGCTTGCTTTATTTTTAATACTTATCTAATAAATTAATTCAAGGCTATAAAATTTACTCATTTTGGTCCCACCCAACAGGATGTGCACTTGTTTTGGTTTCCTCTTTAGCTGTTAACGTGGGGGGGGGGGGGGGGTGTTTTGTTCGTTTGAAGTAGATAGAATTTTTGGCTCTTTTTCAGCAACTTGATTTTTATGACGTTAGAGAATGCGTTCCTGTGAGATTTCCACATTTTGGAATTTGCTGAGATTCTCTTCCTGGCATAAAACATGGTCAATTTTCATGATTGTTCTAAGAGGGTTTGTTGGCACAAAGTTCACAGACAGGTGACAGATCAAGTTTGTTAACAGCTGATTTGGAGATTTCTGAGATGAGAATCAACATTACCCTGCCATGATTGGGAATTACTCAGTATCTCACTGTATTTCTAAAAACACAAACTATCTTTCAAAGCTATGTTGTGAGCTGAAGAAGGTATGCAACCATGTATTTTACCTTCCTAACAAATTATTCTTTTCATAAATTGATGCTTTTTGCCTCAAATTCTCTCGACTGACACCACTTCCCTCACTTGCTTTCTTTTTGCTAGTATTTTCCTGAAGATTTTTCCACTCCTTTATTTTCAATCTTTCATTATTTTTTTTTTTTGAGGAAGACTAGCCCTGAGCTAACTGCTGCCATTCCTCCTCTTTTTGATGAGAAAGACTGGCCCTGAGCTAACATCTGTGCCCATCTTCCTCTACTTTATATGTGGGACGCCTACCACAGCATGGCTTACCAAGCGGTGCCATGTCCACACCCAGGATCTGAACCAGCAGACGCCGGCCCGAGAAGTGGAACGTGCACACTTAACTGCTGCACCACCGGGCCGGCCCCCCGATCACCTCTTATAATCAACCTATACACATACTTGTGGTGAAGTTTATAATTCCACTTGAAAATGTCTGTAAATAGTAGAATTTAACCCATTCACACTTACTATGACTAATGCTATGTTTAAATTTACTCCTGCCATGTTATTTTATACTTTCTAGTTCTTTCTTTTCATTTCTTCTCCTGATCTTTGCTGGATCAAGTAGCTGTCTCGGTGTGCAACACAGAGAGAATTCACAGTTCTCTGATCACTAACTGTTTGCAACAGTGACAGTGCAAGGAACAGCAGTACAGGAAACACGGCTGCTGGTACACCAGTCACAATCCCCAGTGCCTTCTCCCAGGGCACTGGAGGGAGGACTGAGCCTCTGGACTAAGTCCCTGTGGGTCCTGAGTTTATCTCAGAATGGGGGGAGGGGGCACACAAGCACAGGAGAGTGCCAGGGGTAAAAACGACATTTTGGGGATAAACAGGAGGAAGGCTCAAGGTGACTGATTTAAACGTTAAGAAGAAATATTACCTTAATTTTGTACTCCAGGCAAGTGAAGTGGGACACAGAAATGAAACATGGAAGAACACACCAGCAAGCGATCTGCATAGGTTTATTTGAGAATCTAAACCCCACCAGCACTGGGGACCTCACTCCAGTTTTACAGAAGGAAGTGCCTCCTCTGCGACCAAGAGGCAGCCTCAGTTGTAGCCCCCATGCTTTCATGCATGCGGTCAATTCTTCCCGCCCCAGCCAGTCCCTCTGAAGCACCTGGTGTTCTCACCACACGCACTTTCATACGTTGCTCACAGAACCTCTCCCGCGAGCCTGGTACCTCATACCATAACACGGTTTACCCGCTGAGCCCAATGCGACAACACGTGCACATGTATCTTTCGTTTTATGCCAATGGCCTTTTCTATCTTTCTTCACACCCCAGCACAGTGTTCTTTTTCCTTCTACTTATTACACCCATCATTTTGTATTTGGTCCAGTGACTCAGCACCGTTCTGAACTCTTAGGTGCTCCTTTGCCTGAGGTCCCAGCACAGTGAATAACTGTGCGGCTAAATCAGATGATTTTCATCAATCAATGTTCTTTATCTATTAGAGTCACAAACTTAATGAAAGTCCTAGTTCCCAGAAAAATGCATATACCCACATACACAAAGACTTTTGGATACAATTTAAGAAGGTTCTAGACGTCTTTGAAACTCATTTACAGATTCTAGGTTTAAAAACTCTCCCAACACAACCCTCCCACCATAACTCAAGACGCAGAGAAGACCGGGCCAGGCCAGCACGGAGGAGGGACGAAGTGCCTGAGTGAACCCACTCTCGGAAGCAGGATTTAGGAAACATAACTGGCAGGGTATACACACAACAATCTATAAAATGTATAAATTCACCTGAAAATCAGTAAGAGCAACCTATACATGCTTTTATTTTACTCTAAAAAAGTATATAATTTGCATAAGCCTAAATCTGAGCAGCAAAGCAGCTTTGGTATGCCAGTCGCCTTCCAGGAGGCCTACGCCCAGCTCTTGCTGACATGCAGAATAAACACAAGGCCCGGGATCTCCGGATTCGCCCTGCACCTCAGGGCTGGGGGACCAGGCCTGCGGAAGCCTGATGCTCCCTGAGGACTCCCGCGCATCCCGTGGCGCTGATGGTCTTTGGCCACCCTCTCCTGTCTCCTGCACTTATCTGTGTGTGATACTTAGGTTCTGCCCCATTTCAGCTTGAACACAGCACTCGGCTCCCACAAGTTCCATGAGGAGTCCACTCAGACCAAGCACCCCAAGACTGCAGGGAAGGGTCTGTGGCCAGAAGGCTTCGTGGACAGAAGCGTGCCACCTCACGCCATCCTAGCCCACTGGGGCCCTCTCTTCGAGTCCCTCTCCCATTCTACTTGCATTTTCTCGTCCCAGACTATCCTGGGGCATTCAACTTCTTCTCTCTCTTATCACATGGGGCAATTCAGTCCTCTCCAGCCCTATCCCCAAATCTAGATGCCCAAACCCATCACAGTGCTCATCAGAAAAAGAACTCCAAGTAACATGACTCGTCTTCCTTAACAGGCAACTGGGATTAGTATTTTTTCTGTTGGATTAGTGAATGCTAGGCTCTTTGTACACGTTTACTTTACTCAGTTCTCCAACTCCCTCACGAGTTAGGTACCGTCAAAACCATTTTACAGATGAGAACCCTGAGGTTCACAGAACAAACTGCACGCGGTCCCAGAGGGCGGGCTGAGTGGCCCTCATTTCTCCCCTCTGCAGTTCTCACCCACATGTCTCGCTCGGCAGTGCTGTTGAGATTGGGCTCCTGCCTGTGATGCCATCAGCCTCTTTCTCACCCTCCCCTAGGGGTTTGACTTTACCATGGAGCACTTTGCCATCTGCTTCTGATATTTGCTTTCCATTCACCTATTTTTGTCAAATTCCTGAGAATAATAGCCAACTGTACAGAAAAAGTGCTTAGTAATTTTAAATGTTTTAGGATAAGAGAAGCAAGAGTTGGAAGGTCCCTTGGACGGCATCATGTCCAAGCTCATGCAACACCCGAGAATCCCTCTATATCTTCCTCAAGGCCGCCCACCCACGTCCTCAGACAGTGGGCCCTCTGAACGCTGCTGGGCTGACTCGAGAGACTTCCTGTCTTAAAGATGCAAAGTGCAGGGACTCAGGCTCCCGCTAGAAACTGTGAAGTCAGCCTTGCCTTCTCTCTTGCAGCCCCTAAATCCTAGCAGGCACCAGGAGTGACCTGATGGGTGACACTTGGGCTCACATGTGACCTCTCTTCCCCACCCACTCACATTGAAAGGGCCAGTTTGGACGGCTTCCACCTCGACAGTGGAAGCACAGTGCAGACCTGCCCCTCAAAGCCAGCAGATGCCAGAATACTGTCAGAGATGCTGCATGGAACACAGGCGACCACAGCTTTAGCTAAGAGCATGTCATCCCTTACCAGGAGTTTGAAAGTGAAATAAAAGCCTATGGGCACCAGGCAGATAATACAAATGACCAAAATGGATCACACAGGGAACGTGAATTCACAGTCAACACTTAAAAATCATTAAATTTTGTGTAAAAGTCTAGATTGTTGGTTTTTTCTTAAAAAGGCAGACTACATGGGAACAAACGGCCACAGCCACGGCCCTTATGACTCCTCTTTGAATTATTCCTGCAATTTATAGGCAATTTAGTCATTGTTACCTGCTTGGGCCGCGACCCCTGGGCTAAGGTGTCCCCACAACTTGGTTAGCTGGGACAGTCCCAGTTTAGGTATGTTGTCCTCATTCAAGTATTAATCGCACGCCCACCCCTTTGCTCTTAAGTGCCTAGTTTGGGCAATAAATTATATGGTCACCTTAGGCATAATGCAAAAGTCAACCGCACCACACACACACACACACACACACACACAGACATACACATGATAGCCACTGACTTCACACAACTACATGTCAAGCACAGAACCCCGTTATAAAGTGATTTTATTAAATTGATTTGGACATACTGTAGGTCAAATAATATTTTCCGAAGATAACAATTATGGACTTTAAAGCTTGACATAAAATTAGTAGCTTCAAAAGTGTTAGTCATATTCCCCAGCAACAGCATGATAAAATAATTCAACTATGTAGAAATATAGAACTCTAGGACTAGCTGGAAACTCGGAAATCATTTAGCCTAATATCCTCATTTTGCAAGTGAGAAAACTAGACTCAAAGATTAAGCGATTTGCCCAAGCTCATATACCTAATAGTAATAAAGCTAGAAATCAAACCAATTTTTCCTAAAACTAAAATTCTATCAATGATATTTCAACTGGCTCTCTATCAACTAAAAGTCTAGGCTTTTCTCTAGTGCTCCACACTACTGTGACATGAAAGAGGGGTAAGACACCACAGTAAATCGCAGTCGAGGAGTTCAGGCCTGGAAGGGGCTCACTCGAATAACGATGCCAGCCCTCTGTGAAAGGAGATGCGTGAGAAGCGACTTCCCAAGGCCTGTTACAGAGACATCTGGATGCAAGTCCAGACAGCGACAAATTCACCCGCAAATGCCAGCTCCACTCAGGCCCACCCACTAAATTGTGTGCTCCTTTTCAATCTCCTTTACACGTTGAGGTGTTAGTTATACAAAAACCCCTTCCAGTCTAACAGAAGAAATTAATTCAAATATGAAGAGAAATCACGCTTTGTTTCAGCATTTCGATGACTATTTTGGGGAGTTCATTTTCCATCCCCATAGACAGCTGACAGACACCACTAACCTGACCCCCATTTCAGAGCTTCAAAGAGCCTCAGTTTCCCCAAAGACTTCCTGAGCAAAAGGACTACATGTGGGAAAGCAACGAAAACAGGAATGAGAAGAGAAACAAAGTTAAAAATTAGTTGCTTTTGTTCTTGTCATTGGGGACTTTTGGTCTTCTAAACATTCCTTGAGTTCCTCCACATGAGTTTTTAATATCAATCTAGCCAAAAAAAAAAAAAAAAGGCCTATAAAGGTTGGGATACGGAGCACCTCAGCGTCTCCCCCCTTCCCACGCTCACTGCGCTCCACGCTCCCCACCTCCCCTCCCGAGACCATGGCAGGGCCACCCCCAGCCTGCGCTCGCAGCCGATGCTCTGGGCCTCCGCTCCCATCCACCGCCACCCGAGAAAGGCCTTCCCTGACCGCTACCTAACACTGCCCCCCCCACCCCACCCACCACACTAAATCATCACCCTAGTTTATTTTCTTCATAGCACTTAATCACTATCTCACACTACGTCATTTATTTGTTTACTTGCTTATCATCTGTCTCCTCCACCAGAAGTCAACTCCATGAGAGCAGGGCCCTTGTCTGTCTCACTCAGTGGCACTCCCAGCACCGAGCACATGCCTGGCATGTAGGAGGTGTTCAATAAATACTTGTTGAATGAATGAAGGAAAAAAGGAGGATAGATTAACACAGACAGTGATGCCTGAAAAGGAACTGATACATAACCCTCAATGAAGGAGTAGCAAGGACTCCTACACATTATTGCCCAAAATTACAGAAACAGAGACTAATTATTATTAGTGACTCCTACCATCCATGTCTCCAGTGGTCTCCCCTAGCTAGTAAGGAGCTCCACATGTCACAAAAGGTGCCCGAGAGGGCAGTTCTGGATGGAGGAATGTTCCAACTTTGCTTGCTTCTTCCTCCCTATTTACATTCAGCTATTTCCAAAAAAATTCAAGTTAAAAATATGTGATGTAGCCACTAGAAAATTAAGTCTAACAGAGACACAGTGATTAGCAGAATCCACAAAATTAAAAAAAATCAAGAAAAGTTCAAGGGCATGTATGTCTGCTAATGATTTCTCTGATAGGCCAAGTGAATGGAAATTATGAGTCACCTGAAACCTAAAACGAAAGATAATGCCATCTAGGAAGGGGTGGATATTTATGGGTATTTTGAGGACATATGGGTAAAGCGGGTTCAGAAATAATGGGATATATGGAAAGATATGCAGGGGCTAAGTGGTAACCTCAGAGATACCAGAACACTATCTTAGTGGGAGCTGTCCATTTTCAAATGCATTAACCAGGATGCCTGAATCAAGAGAAGCCGGGCATGAGCTCCCGAAGACGGGGTGTCTGGGGTAGCTTCCAGGTAAAGTGTAGACAGAAGGTGACTCAGGAGGCTGGGCAATGACCATGGTTTCCTGTGCGGTATTTCAACGACTGAGGTGTTGTGCTGCAATCCCAGGAAACGCACATGCACGCCTGGGACCTCACAGCCCGTCTGGGCAGACACTCTGAGGGACTCCAGATTCACAAGTCAGGTTGTGGATCAGACTTGGCGTGAATCAAAAAGTCAACCTCACAGATGCCTCTCTGAAAAGAATGTTCTGCTGGGGCTTGCTGTAAAAATTTCTTGGGTCAATGTAGGTATTTACAGGGTTTCCTTCCTAGTGGCACTTATGGGTTTTAAGATTTTTAACTCTTAGCGAAACGCTTTATATAACTGATATTTTGAGATGGTTTCTCTCCTTTGTGTGCACTCTCTGGTGGATACAGAGGCTGGTGCTCTGACTGAAGGCCTTCCCACACTCATCACATTTAAAAGGTTTCTCCCCAGTGTGCACTCTCTGGTGGATGCAGAGGCTTGAGCTCTGGCTGAAGGCCTTCCCACACCCACAACATCTATAGGGCTTCTCCCCGGTGTGCACTCTCTGATGGATGCAGAGACTCGAGCTCTGGCTGAAGGCCTTCCCACACTCATAACATTTATAGGGTTTCTCTCCTGTGTGGACTCTTTGATGCATGCAGAGGCTGGAAGTGTGCCTGAAGGCCTTCCCACACTCTTCACATTTAAAGGGTTTCTCTCCGGTGTGGACTCTCTGATGCATGCAAAGGTTTGAACTATTACTAAAGCCCCTCCCACACTCACTACAGACATAGGGTTTTTCACCTGTATGAACTCTCATGTGAATCTGAAGATGTGAGCTCCAATTGAAGGCTTTGCCACACTCGTAACACTTATAGGGCTTCTCCACAGTGTGGATTTTCTTGTGCCTATTAAGTTTTGTTGTAGTACTGAAATCCTTACCACAATCATCACATTTATAGACCTTCTCTCCTGTGTGGTCTCTCCAATGAATATGAAGTTCTGATATATGAAAGAAACCCTTATCACACTTGTCACATTTATGGGGCTTCTCAGCAGTGTGAATTTTCTGATGCATGAAAAGATCTGCTCTCTCAGAGAAAAACTCCCTACACATGGGGCACTTGTAGATCATCTTTCCTATTTGGTATCGTGATTTAGAGGAGAAAACTTCCTTACAACTGCTACAGTTACACAACTGCTACTTCGCTGAGTCTCTTATTTGGCCATTTTAGCAGTTTATCTCAGGCTTGCTCTAATCGGTAGGTTTAAGGTCGGCCTAAGCTTCTCCCTGCCTGTCCTTCTACAGAAGGTTTCTTCCTGCATAGTGTTCCTCACTCAGTATTATTATTGATTATAAAGTGACATTTCCTCCCACATGAATTCTGTAACTCATTAACACAGAACTCTCTCTTAGATCCTGAGTTGTCAACATTCCAAGGGGCTCCCAAGGTGCAAACCTTTGCGTTTTTAAGCCCCTGGAATCTTCCTCTTGCAGAATAATCTCGTACTTCTCACTTCTAGAAAAAGGACTGCACAGCGTCCCCTGCAGCAGACGGCAAGACACTGTGTGTCGGTCTCGATCCCCTGTAGCCGGCCCTGGAAGCGTCAGTGTGGCCTTCTGCCTCCTCCACATCAGACAGGAGCCTCCCAGGAAGCGAGCTCCTCGGGTTCCAGGCGCGTCAGCCCTTCCTTCTGAGGATTCCCAACACAGGGGTCACTCCAGGCTCCTGGAACAGAAACAGAAATACACTGAAAATGCCTTTTTTTGTCCAGGAAATTGCTACTGATTCCATAATTGATTACACAATTAATGTCACATAAATGTGACAGCAGTAACACAGACCTTTCTGGATCTTGAGGAAGAAGCTCCCTTATCTCCCAGAGAGATGTCTCTATTGGATCTGCAGGTCTGAAGAAGAGAATTTGTACATATCACACTCCTGTTTATAGCCCAAGTATATAATGCAATTACAACCAGTGACTAATTATCTGAACAACATCAAGGGAATATCATTGAAAAAGGAAGGAAATCCTCGGAAGACCTCCACCTATGAGAAGCAGCTCCCCTCTGAACTCCAGAAGGAGCTAAAACATCTTATTTGAGTAGCCTTTCAATCTATACAAAGAATAAATACATGACATATCGGTGTCCAATGTCATTCCCTTGCTTAATTGCCCTCAATGGTTTCCTGATGCACTTAAAATCCAAATCCTTAACTTAAAACCCAAGCTCCTTCATGACCTTGCCTCCACTCTCCCCCACCTCACTGTGCTTTGTTCCAGTTCTCAAACCCCCAAAGGCAGTGCCTGCCTGGGGGCCTTTGTCCATGCTGTTCCCTGTGCCTGAAATGCTCTCTCCCCAACCTGGTGTGTGACTTGCTATGTCAGCCGCCCCCACCCTCTACCAAAAGGAGGCCCCTGGCTAAGACTCTATTTTAATCTCTTATTTGATTCCTTCAAAGCACAGAGAACTTGTAATTATCTTATTATTGCTTGGTTTCTGATCTGTTGCCTGCACTGAGATGTAAACACCACAAGGGAGGAACTCTGTGTGCTGCTCACTGCTATATTCTGGCAAAGGGGAGGCGTGCAATTAATATTGTCGAATGCACCTGGAGAGTACTTCATGACACCCTCTCCCCCCAACAGACATCCCTGCCTCATCCTGGGGGAGCAGATAAAGGTGCACTTCCCAGTGCCTCATCACCAGTCTGCTGACAACCAACATGGGACAAATATACAACAAATAGAATGAAGAGGAAATAGAAGAAAATAAATCCCAAAATATTCAATCTGAAATCTGAGGTTTAGGACCATGTCTTAGCCATCTTTTCATCTCTTGTATTCCATACTCAGTAAGTGATACTTCAATTAATTCATTCAATGCAATTAACAGATCTCACAATGACACTGTCAATGACATGTTCCACACAGAGACGGGGCACCTGGGTGACTGAGGAGATTTAACATTAAAGCAGCAAAACAAATTGGACTGCTTCTAGGTAGAAGTGTTAGAATAATGAAATTCAACTAGATAACCAAAATTTCAGGAAAAAGAGAGTCAACAGAAATAGAATTCTCAGTATAAAAATTATAAATGCATCTCTCCTTTGACCTAGTAATTACACTTCTAGAGATCTATCCCAAGATACACTGACAAAAATAGGAAAGTACTGCTGGCCCAGCTTATTCATGGCAGTATCTGTCACAGCAACATTGCAGGCACCCCAAGGCCCATCCACAGGGGACTGGTGGAATCAACTATGTACTTCCTCATAATGAAATACTGCTTAGCCATTTAAGACAGGGACTGAGGAAGAGCACATGCACTGACAGGGAGTGAACCCAAGTAACGTGGCTTACTAAAGAAGAGCAAGGCATAGAATAGTATATAAACTCTGCTATCTTTTGTGCAAAAAAGGAAGGGAATAGGAATGTATTTATGTATTTGTTTACATGACGTATAAAAATAAACATGGACAAGGAATATACAAAACTGAATTTAAACAGTTATCTATCGGGGAGGAAGGCAAAAACGACCAAGTAAAACTCAACATACCTTGTTATGCAGTTTTGACTTTGAAAATATAAATGTTTATTCAAAAAATTAAATAAAAAACAAAAGCAATCCTTAAAATTTTAAAACAAAATGAAAGGAATGAGCCTTAACTTTCAAGTTAGTGACATATCCACAAACGACTTTTGAGAACACTATACTGATTGCACATTCTCAGAAGGACGTACACTGTTGACAAATACAGCTGCAAAGAAACCAAACTTCTTTTCAATAGTTTAACTGTTATAATAACATTGGTGTTTTTATAAAGTAGGATAATACAAGTAAGTAATTATGTTAACGTTGTTAGGAACTAAAATTCAATATAAAGGGAAATGAGATATAAATATAAAATCAAAGTTAAGGAAAAAAGTCCTATAACATAAAATTTGACTTAGAAATAGTTTGAATTCATGTCTGTTTTTTAGCTCTGTCCACCAAAAAGGCCTGGAAGCAATGACAACTGAGATCAATGGTCCCTTCCCACCAAATGGCACAGGGATCCTCGGAGAAGGGCTGGTTTTGAGGCCAGAGTAGCATTTTATAAAATGAGCCTGGACGGGTCCGGCGACCCGGTGGGGAAGCGCCGGAGCTCCGCCAGGCAGCAGACAAAACTCTCTGTCTACCGGTAGCAGAGGGGCCACGCTGAGCACTCAGGGCTCCCGGCAGAGGCCCGGAGAGAAGCCCAGAGGGCGGGGCGACCCCCAGCTGCCGTTGCCCGCCCCGGGGGACTAGGGATTGCCGGAGATCTCGGAGAGGACCGGGGCGGGGGAACTTTCAAAGGTGGGTCCGGCGACCCAGAGGGGAAGCGCCGGAGCTCCGCCAGGCAGCAGACAAAACTCTCTGTCTGCCGGTAGCAGAGGGGCCACGCTGAGCACTCAGGGCTCCCGGCAGAGGCCCGGAGAGAAGCCCAGAGGGCGGGGCGACCCCCAGCTGCCGTTGCCCGCCCCGTGGGACTAGGGACTGCCGGAGATCTCGGAGAGGACCGGGGCGGGGGAACTTTCAAAGGCGGGTCCGGCGACCCGGTGGGGAAGCGCCGGAGCTCCGCCAGGCAGCAGACAAAACTCTCTGTCTGCCGGTAGCAGAGGGGCCACGCTGAGCACTCAGGGCTCCCGGCAGAGGCCCGGAGAGAGGCCCAGAGGGCGGGGCGACCCCCAGCTGCCGTTGCCCGCCCCGTGGGACTAGGGATTGCCGGAGATCTCGGAGAGGACCGGGGCGGGGGAACTTTCAAAGGCGGGTCCAGCGACCCGGAGGGGAAGCGCCAGAGCTCCGCCAGGCAGCAGACAAAACTCTCTGTCTGCCGGTAGCAGAGGGGCCACGCTGAGCATTCAGAGCTCCCGGCAGAGGCCCGGAGAGAAGCCCAGAGGACGGGGCGACCCCCAGCTGCCGTTGCCCACCCGGTGAGGCTAGGGATTGCCAGAGATCTCGGAGAGGACTGGGGCTGGAGAGAGTTCCAGAGACCCAGCTTAGTAGCCTAGGGGGAAACCCTACAGGCTCACAGAAGCCTTAGGGAAAGCCTCTGCACAGCACCAGTAGAAGGCACCCAGCCGCCAGCCACAAGGCTGGAAGACCCCAGGGCAAAAGCGGCATAGCTAGGTGTACTAACCACAGACTGTAGAAGATGCCAATAGCTCTCCTGCGACCCATAGAGGACAAGTGAGATTTGGTGGGTGCCGACAGCAACAGAGCGACAAATATAAGTGATCCCACCCCTGGCCGCTGGAAAAGCCCATAACACCGTTGCAGACCCCAAGGAGAGAGCGCATCTAGGTGGGCAACAACAGTAGGCACCTGCAGCCTGAAGCCCCCCGTGACGGCCCCCACGGCAGAGGAGGGAATCCAAAGGGCCACTGTGGCTACGAAGAGGGGCCCAGGCCCAGTTAGCAACTACGGACAGGGTTCCTGACTTGGTGAAGTATAAACAGCTGCTCCCCCCACCGCAGCAGCTGAAG